TATTGGTAATCGAACTCAGAACCTCCTCGTTTAGCTTTCACAGTATTGACCACGCAGCCAATAAGGGCGTTTAAAACTCTAAAAATGTTACTAAACTTTTAAGTTTATTGAATGTCACGATGCTTTATTACCATGCTATTCAATTATTTTTTGTCAAATTACCCCACTAGTTTGTTATAATTATTAATACAAGAAAATTCTAGCAACAGTGGGAGACGCTATGCCTACTAAGCCACGGAACGAGCTTGCGGACGTTATCGGTTTTTCTATGTGCTTGTTGCAGATCTTTGGTTTTTGATTTTTAACGACTTTTTCTGCGAGGAAATCTATTTTTTCTAAAAGTTCCAAATATATGACTTAAACTTTAATACAAACATAAACACCTTCACAATAACATTGTTTTAAGGGTCAATACGAGTTAACAATAATCTCAGTACAGAGTACTAAAAAAGCCGACCTCAAAAGTACGTGGAGAGTACATATAATTACTAACTTTTAATGAAATCGGTTACCGGAAAGTGCGCAAACCCGGACTCATCCTCAAGTTCGCCACTATACAGAACTTGACACAGGAGATAATAAAAATCGGTTCTCACTACTCGAAGTACATTGAGAGAGAAAACGCCTTGAATTGGAGAATAGCAAAATCAACCATTAAAATAATTGCTCTTTATAATAAAATTTAGGCGCTATTTATGAAAATGAATCTTCATGCGTGAACAACCTCCCTTAGAGGTGGATGATTTGCTTCAAAATTAAATGAGACCACTATGGAGGTACCCTCTTTCCAACAAAAAAATAATAATGAAAATCGGTTCACAAATACCGGAGTTATCGCGTAACATACAAAAAAACAATCGAATTGAAAACCTCCACCTTTTTTGAAGTCGGTTAAAAAGTTAACATGTAATCCGAAAGTAAAACGACACCTTCAGATTTTTTCCAGTTGTTTATTGGTTGCACTATTATACCGTTTACATTCTCTAGAATTATTAAATTTAAAACGAGCTGTCTAGATAATATCTCGTAAAAAAGATTTTGATCGACCGTGACAGACCCTGCTTCAGAAATAACTCACGTCCGCGTACAAAGTCGTCGTCGTAATTGTGTGATTTATTTATGTCGCCTACAATAATCTAGTTCTAGACTCTAGGCAGAAAATTAAGGTGACAATATTGAGGAGGACTGCACATCACATATCATTTGCTGGTCGAACGGTACCGGTATTTATTTTTTTATGAATAAACAGCAACCCCGAAGGAATTTTATTCAGAATGAATAAATTTCAGAAAACAAATTCAGAAAAAAAAATGTTCGTAGAGAAAGCAGTGTATGTAACTGTCATACACTGCTGTCATACACTGTACATAATTAGATATTAAAACACTCGTGAGATGTTTTTATAAACCCTCACTGGTGTTTGAATGCCTTTGATTCTGAAACAGTCACATAAACTACTAATATTATTTATTTATTTTATTATTATATTACATATTACTTACGAGAGATATTCAAACGCAATGGTTAAGTGCATAGTACCCAAGCATAGCACAGTACAAAACGGTAAACGCGCGGCGACCGCCCGGTAACCCCGCTTTCATGTACGTTAATGGCGAATCTGAATTGTATTTACTAGGCAACAACATTTAAATTCCTTGGAATAATACAACCGCGCGGTCGCCGCGGAGACCATCTTTCACTACTTTTAGTACAAGTTCGAGTGGGATGCACGAATGAACGTTCCGAAAGTCTCTAATACATATCTACATTATGTTCATATACAAGCTTGCAAAAAAGTAATATTTTTTGGTAAGTATCTGTATGTATAATATCAACCTACGTGTACCAGTATATGAAATAGTTGTACCTAAATATTGATTTTGAAACACACCATTCTAACTAAAATTCTTACTTTGTAATAAAAAGGATAATTAGTTAGAATGACAGTCTTCAAACCTGTAAAATACGAAGGAAAATCTAATAGTACCGAGTCCATACAAATTGTATTTTTAAATATTTAGTACAGAGTAGTATTAACCTCATAATACTAGAAGTCCGTAGTAGTTCATGTGAATAAAATTACTAGTTTGGAGCGTTCGTTCAATGTCCGAGCAACGGCAAGACGAACTAACTAAGGAACTATATGAACTAGAAGGCCGACCTAGTTCAGTTGACCGATTGAACTAACTAGGATCGCTCCCGCTAAGGACCGATCAGGCACAAGTCTAGAGAGCACGCGGTCGTTGGCGTGAGCGCGATGAAATTCTTGTCGAATAAACGCGCCCTTACCATTCATGAAAGTAAATCCTTAGCAATTTTCAAAATGAGAGTTAAGAGGCACTATTTATCGACTGTTCCATCAATTTTATAGGTACTATAGTACGAAATATGCATTTATCTAAGTATTTAGGGTATATAGGTATATGGGTTTCAATAATTTTATGTTTTTGACATTTTTGTTTTTTTGTGCACGTGAACCCGTTCTCTTATTATTATATCCTGTATTTAGGTCTGCAGGAGAAAATTTTTGTTAGAAATAAGCAGTACCTTCTGTTTGAGTTTTCCTTGTTAATAAATGTGTTTTTGTTTTTCCTGTACAATAAATGATTAAATAAAAAATAGTCATATGTAAACTACAATTGGTATTGAATAAAATTGAACATTCGTGGAGCAACATTTATTGCAAGTACAAAATAAACAATATATCATTATGTTGAACAATAGAACATCATAACAGCGCAAACTGATTTCAACATTTGTCTGAGCTCGTGTTCGTCACAAACATATTTAACAGATCTTTTTATTTTGAATTAATAATTTTTTTTATAATTATTTCTGTAAATTCTGTAATATTTTTCTGATTTCTGTACTTTTTTTTGTTTAAGTGCGAAAGTCGATGGTTTAAATGTCCTAATCACATAATACCGCTGCTGTCTGTGAATGAACTTATGTCTCTCTGAGTATAAGATATTTAGAATTTATGGCATTTTTTAAATAATAATTTTTCTTTATTATTTATTTATTTATTTGCAAACAATGTAGGTACAAAAATTACATAGGTAATAAGTACATACATACCCCTTTGGGGTGCAGCAATTAATTATTATTAAACATAATATGAATTATTATTAAACATAAAATTGTAAAAATAAAAATAATAGCAAAAATAATAATAATAACATTTAGGAACTAATACATATAGGATCTTAAAATTATCATTAATAAACTTTAGATCATAGTATTACATAGACTTAAAATTACTTATCTGAAACTGGACTCTTTTAGCTTATAGGAGAGTTCATGAAGTCTCCCACATTGTAATAACATTTACTTAACAAGAGAGACCTCAACTTGGTTTTAAACACGTTGTCACTATCTACTATTACTATACTATTAGCCGCCCAGTAACCGATTAAAGCTAATTATTCCTATTATAAATGTGAAACATCCGTCCGCTATCATAAACACTGAGCAGGGGGCCTACCACAACCTCTCCAAAAATAATCTTATGTCAATGTAAGCTTAAAGTAAGCTTATTATAATATTACTCCTATTCGTACCATGACGAACCTGTCAACCAAGCAATGTATTATTGTAAAAGTGATTGAAAGAACCATTGACTTACAAATAAATGGACGACGGGTCTAATACAAAAACCACGAAAAAAATGTCCCAAGTCAACCTATTCGAAATTTAAATTGTAATGTCATCGCAGTATCGCGCTGTCCGTAGAACAAATGAAGACTAAAGCGGAGTGTCGCGCTCTGTATACGATTTTAGCGCCTTACAAGTGCGGACACTTTTTAGCGCGGACCCGACGTCCATATAATTATAAGTCAATGGAAAGAACGAATGATTTCCCAATATTGTCTATTCCTTACCAAAAATAGGAAAGAGATGACGTTATGTGTACTATATAATGCCATATCTTTCTTTTTTGATGTTCCGAATCGTCTTATCGTAGTATAATGTTTGAGTACTCAATGTTATTTACATTCAGAGAATATTAACTGCCAAAAAAAGATATGAAATCTATTAAAATTACGTTGTTTTCAATTATTTTTCCACAATTTCATGAACAAAAATAAATAAAACAAGCTGATTGTTGATTGTCACGTTGTGAATTCGGAATTATAGTCTAGTGTCAAGTGTTAGTTTCGCCAAGGAGCATATAGATAGCGCTGTCATAATTTTACAAAATAAACATCGCGTATTTTTATTTAATCAAAAATAAACAAAATATTGAAGAGATATATGTAAATAAATAAGGTCAACTTAACTTTTAATCATTACAAATCAATATTAAGACATTAAAACTGAAAATAGTATTGTTTCCATTGCATCCGTGTAACTATTTTAAGATTGCTAAATTTGACATAAGAGCAATATTACTTTAATGTTAAAGTCGCGTCATAGTACGAACTGAGTGAATGAATAGTCACAAAGCTGCCAATAAAACATCATAGTTTTAACATTATAATAAGCTTAGGTACTTTAAGCGCGTTACGGTACGAAAATTCAATGAAAGGTCAAAGTAATATTGTTTCAAGAGGTTGTGGAAGGCCCCTGAAGTCTCATTTAAGGCGATGCTTTTGCTTTCTTTCGTGGTCTTCTTGTTTATGTTAATGGTTTGTACATGTCAATTTTGTTCTTATTACTTTTGATTATATTAATTTTCAAAGCGCGGGTTGCAGGACGCAAGGGGCAGTCCCCCTCCTCATCTCCTAAAATGTCGGCCCGCATTGATATACCTCGCCTTAATTGAGAAGAGTAGAAGCAACCGTCCTGCTAAGCTACCGCCACTCCGCCTCAATAAAATACCGCTACACTATTCACCCTGTTATCTCAACAATATGCAAACATTTGCTCCAATGGTAATATTTACTGCTTCTTGATTGAGCGTGGGAGAATTTTGAGCATTGTACAGCTATCAATATTTGTAATACAATTAGGACTGGAGTATGTAGATAATTATAATAATAAAACAATAAATACAGTAGAAGTGCTTTCTTTGCGTGACACGTGTGCCTACATATAACGGAGTTCAAGCTCAGTCCGCTGTTTTCGCTTTGTACTTTATGGTCGTGTCAATTATCTCGCACAACACCTGAAAATTGTAGAAAAATACTTTACTTTCTATTTTGGAGTGCAAAAATGACAGTCGCACTTGTAATATTATTTATGAGGTGGTGTTTCGTATCATCATTAACTCTTATTTAATTTAATTTTAATAAATTTTAATTTTTTTGTCTGTGGTAATATTTGTTTTGTTACAAGAAACGAAAGTAAACCTTGTACCGCTGTAATATGGCCGCTTCTTTTTTGGAGAGCTAAATAAACATCTCTAATTCATCGTCGTTCAGCTATTAACCGCTAGATGGCAGCACATTGA